CACAAGAACTTTTGAGCCTGCAGCAGCCACAGTCTCAGTTTCTGGCAGACAGAATTATCCACCAGTCAGATTCCACTCACAGAACTGTAAGACAGCCTACTTCTAAGCACCAGGAGCCTCAGAGTGAATTATTTAGCCTTTACATGCAGCTCAACCATACTAATTTGAGTAACTCTGTCCTCCTGGAAACCACCACCCAACTCAAGCGAAGAAGCACAAACACCATGTCCGACCTGACACTGCGAGTGAACAGGACCATGGAGACAGGACAGCAAAATACAGCTTTGAGAGCGACCCCATCCCCTGGCTGAGGGTTAAAACCAAAAAAAAGTACACTCTGGGTGTGAAGGTGTTTGTTCCACAAACAGCAGGAAAGCCCAGGGCACGGCCAGAAGCCAGCACACAGCTCTTGGATCAGGAAACAAAACAGCCGCGGTCGCCAGGGGTCACAATCCTTAAAGAACAATGCAAGGCAAAGGAAAAGGCTCTGGTTAGAACAAATTCGCTGGAGCATAATGAAAATTACCTGGGCTTTTTTGCAGGTGGCATTCCATCTTCCAACAATGTTTCCTTGCCCAGGCTCACCGTAGAAGCCATCCAGTTTCTGTAGCAGACAAATCACCAAAGCGGAGTCACTGCACATGGACACCACCACAACAACGAGGTTTTACAGATCCAGCTTTGCACAGGTGGATAAATCTCAGGTTTGTTATCGTTCCAAGATCACCTCTGGGCTGAGAATTGCATGTTTTTGTCTCTGAACTTTGTCCCACAGTCTCATCCTCTTCCTTAACCTCTTTTACCATAAAATCCTTGGCTGTTTTTCCCAGGTGTGATTGCCTCAGCAAAACACACTTTGCCAGACCCTTTGTTCCACCTCAGCAGCTCGTTTTCCCCGAGAGCCTGGATCTTGGAGCAGCACTCCCCCCTTCCCCACAAGGCCTGTCAGCAAACTTGCTGCTTGGGAAACAGTGGGAGGGAAGAGAAGACAAAGAGATTTTTGTTGGCTCCAAAAACCCACGGAGAGCATTTCATTCCCTGGTGATGAGAGAAGGGTTTCCCAGCCCGCCATGAGTCTGCAAGCACTGGGAAATGACCTTAAAGCCCACGGGAAGGAAGTGCAGTTTGAGAACTCTTTCAACAGCCCGTCACATAAAACACAAAAGCTCTGCCAGCACGCAGCACTCTCCCACTTCTCCAAAGTAAGTCTATGAAAAGGAAATGAAAATTCACAGAACTGTCCACTCTCTTCTGCTTTTTCTTTGCCAATTGTAATGAAGAGTCCATCAAAAACTCTGTTAGACAAGGGCTTTTGGCCAGAGGAAATGCTGAGGAAGAGCTGCTGACCCAAAATCACTGAGTTTTTGCAGGTTTTGCCATCTCAGAGAGATCTGAGGGTTTGTTCTAGAGATGACATGCTGTGATTGCTCCCTGGCAGCCCAGCAGGTGACAACGGCAGGTCTCTCCAGGTAGGACCTGCAAGTGCTGGCATGGATCATGGGAGAAATCAGCCAGTATTCTAGGAAAGCACCACCCTTCAGTGCTGGACAGGGCAAAGTGACACTGTCAGGAGCTCAGATTGGTGCAGCCTTTACCCTCTGACCCCTTCAGAAAACTTTATACAATGGCATTATGGATTGGTTTGGGCTGGACAGGCCCTTAGAGCTCGTGTCGTTCCACCCCTGCCATGGGCAGGGACACTTTCCATCACATCACCTTCTCAATAATAAATCATTGTACCAACAGTAGAACACCTCAAAGAGCTGCTTTTCATTCAAAGAGCTGGTTTTCACTACCTACATCTTCAAACATTACTGAACACTGCTGCTCATCACTCTAAATAATCACCTTTTTATCTTACTGGGCCCAGATTTTGGATAAGTGTCAAAGGCCCTTAGCAAGTGAGGAATCTCCTGTTTTCCCCCCTCTGTGCATGCCAGGCAGGGCTCCTCCATCACACACTCTTGTGAACATTGCACCCTGTATTTTTCCAACCCACACTCAGCCCAGGAGCTCAGTGCTGCTCTGACAATGAACCTCTGCAGCCTCATCACCTCTGAATACCTGCAACCTGTCAGGTGAACTGTTTTGGGGGGTTAACATCTCCAAAGACCAAAGTGACTCACAGGAAGACAGGAGGACCTGCTGGACACGGATCTGTCAGATTCACCATCAAATCCCTGCTGAGTGGATACAGCCAAGCACAATCAGGATAAAGGGGGAAAGAGCCCCTCTTTTTCCTTCCTAGGAGGGTCCCATCTCTCCTTTTGGATTAGCTGATTTTTCTAGAAGGACAGGCTGCTTTCACAAAGCCAGCCAGATTTTATTTAGTGGTGCAAAGATGCTTTAGATAAGGCAGGCACTAACAATAGATAACTGGAGTGTTTCAGAGGGAAGTTTTGAGCTGCTGCTGGTGCCACGTCTGCCCTCAGCCCCTGTGCAGAAGCAGAGCTGCAGCTAAAGGTAAATCCTTCCTTGCTTTTTAAATTGGATATAATTTAAGCTCATAATTATCTTTGCATCGTGAATCATCAGCTGAGGCTCGAATATCAAGGTTGTTTGTAAACTCCCACCTAGAACTCCCCTGTTTGCTTCCACCTGCCTCAGCACTGCTCCCATCTCACTCACCCTGCACATTCCCATGCTACTAACAGCAGGAATGGAGCCATCAAATCAATTTTAAGTGCCTCTAAATGACATTTCAAAAGCAATTTTAAACTTAGGAAAAAACACCTTTTGGAATTATAATCACCTTGTAAGCTTTTCTGATATAATGACCTTCAACCTTCAAGTCTATTATTCAGTGCAGAGAGCCATAAAAGAACAAAAACCCATTAAAAATACAGCCTAGTTCCAAAAAAGTTATTACAGGTCTTAAAAAGAATTCATGGGGATTCAGCCAAGAAATAGAAACCTCCAGTTTTCAGTCCTGGGGAGAAACTCTGCTTGCTAGAGGGATGGATTGTGCTGGCACAGTTGAGGTAGCCAAAATTAAATTGAATTACCTCAGAGCATGACACTGCCATGGGAAAAAACCACATCAGGTACTGCAGGTTCCCCTGGGAACACAGGTGCCATGGAGGAGAGGGAGCCACAGGCACTCAGAAGATAAGAAGTGTCTCTCCAGCCTTCTTCAGACATTGGGAACTTTCCAGCTATTTAGACTACAGGGAGCTGAAGACTGTAAACACAACACTCCATGGATTCCTGGCTCAGCTGCCCCATTCCCCTGTCCCAGCCTTGTCCCCATCACTTTTATCAGGGTCGAAAGAGACTCCCTGTGTGGGATTGCTGCATTCTCTTTCTCCCTCCACACCACAGAAATCCCTTAATTTATCCTAAAGCCTTCCAGACTTCAGCTTTAAACTGTGCCCAAGTCACCAAAACTGGAGAAACTCAACCACAGCAACTCCCTGTGTGACACAGACACATCCAGCTGCAGAAACGTTGGAAATGTGAAGGTGTATCCCAGGTAAAAGCAAACACCTGAACACCACGTGTGTCAAACGCAGCCGAGGTTCACACAGGGTGTGTATTTACAAAACCCTCTCTGCAGCTCTGTAAAACACAACCACACCACACAGTCAACACCAGAGCCCAACCTGCAGAACCAAAATGGGGAATTAATGCAACATTTTCTCCCCCACCTCATGGAGAAGTTGCTGCTGACACCATCTCCACGCTCAGCACCCAACACACAACTAAAGCTATACCTGGATGTTTAAAAATGAAGCCAAGTGATCCAGCACCACGCTGGAAGATGGGCTCCTCCAGAAGAGCCCCCACAAATTCCCAAAAGAGACAAGTACAAACCTACCGCTCATCCATTATTTTCAGCTTCTCTGAGTGCTGAGAACTGCCACCAGCAAAGATGTCACTACCAGCTTCTCTTTCAATTCCGCACTTGAAGGTGTTGGGATAAGATAGTGTAAAAGCCACTTTGTTTCAGCTGAAAGTTGAGCTGTCCCTGGCCAATTCCCAAGCCTACCCCTCCACGTGGGAGCTGCACTGGATCTGGATCAAAAGCATCCTAGAAAAACACAGGCTCCAGGGACAATGGGACCGAGGACAAGCCCTACTCCTATCCAAGCCACAAAAACACAGGATTCAGCCTCCCTGGACGCGAGACAAAACACACCAGAGGTTTTTATTCAACGCTGTGATTCTCCACGTGCTTCCCAATGGCTCCATGAGCAAGGAGAGGCAGTGACACAGCAAAGCCTGGCGGAGCTCTGTATCCCACAGACCCCCGCTGCCTTTCCAGAACCGACTCTGCCGAGGGAAGCGGGGAGGGGGGATCACACCTTCGGCTCTGCTCGAGCCCTTACCTGTGCTCTCCGTTGTGCCCTCCTCACTAAAGCTGCGGGAAAAACAACAACACGGGCATTCAGCAGGCGGGGAGGACGCCGAAGCTCCTTTCCCACGGGGACACATCAATAAAAACCAGCTTTTATAGAAGGCGACGGCGGGGCCGAGCCTCGGCCGGGCCGCCCGCGGCTGCCGGAGGTTTCCCGGTGCCCCGGCGCACCCCCGGCCCCGCCGGTCCCTGCGCTCCCCTCAGGCCGCTCCGTCCCCTCAGGCCGGCGGCCATGGGACCACCCCCCCGTTATGGCGGCCGCCGTCGCTATGGCAACAGCTCCCCCCCCGCTGTCTCCATGGCAACCGCGCCCTGCCCGCCCCCCGCCGCATGCCGCGCGCCCCGCACGCACCTGGCGCCGCGCGCGCGGCCCCATTGAGGAGACACCGCCCCGCCCCGCGCCCGGCCACGCCCCGCCCCGCGGGACGAGTTGGCCCCGCCTCCATCCAGCCCCGCCCCGTCCCTGGCTGGCAGCGGAAGGGGCGGGGCCAGGCGTGGGAACGCGGCGATGCTCTCGCGGTGCCTCGCGAGGCTATAAAAGGCGCGGGCGCATGCGTGGCCCAGTGCTGGGCCGGAGGCGGTGCCAAGCGGGTCTGTCTGTCTGTCTGTCGGGTCTGTCTGTCCGTCCGTCCGGGCTGGGGCCGCGCTCGCGCTGGGCCTGGGCCTGGAGGTGTTCCCGTGCCCCCCTACCCCTCAGGGCCTTCTCCTCCGTCAGCTGCCGTTGCCTGGGTTCCTGTATGTGCGACCGCGTCTCCAGCCCTATGAGGTACACGCGGTGCCTGGGCCTGGCCGCCCCTGTGATGCCTTCAGGCATATATGTGGCGGAATATATATTTGGCATATATGTGGCGGAATATATTTGGGTATACTTAGAGCTTTCCAGGAGAAGAACTATTCTGTTTTCTGGGTAGCTGCGTACTGTTCTGTACTGGCACGGTAAATGGAACGTTCATGGTGGTTTTAGGGACAAAATTAGCCTTATTTTCTCCCCCAGAACTATTTGACCCTGCCTTTCAGCAGCTGGTCTTTGCTGTCTGTAAATTCCCCAGGCACTCCTGTAAACTACAGGCTTCGGAACTCCTGCTGCAGGAATTTCAGCGTGGTGCTGCTGCTGGGTCGAGGCACGCTGTGAATCGAGCTGTGCCTGCTTAATTACTCCTTTAATAATGATCCTGTTATTGCTGAGGTAGGGTGGAGGTTGATCCAGGTGGTGCTGCCTCGTGGGGTTTAGGGTTTGTGGGCTCACCCTCGCTCAGGTTCCTTCTTTGGGGTTTCCAGGTGGGGTGACTCACACAGGCAGGTGACTTGCCCTCCTCTGGGTCCTGTCCTCGGGTGAGGAGTTGATTTTTGGGGTGGTGGCAGCAGTGCAGGGGCAGGGACTAATGGGAAATGGGTCCCAGTGGGATGAGTGGTGCTGGGCCCATGGCTGGTGGTAGCCTGTGGGTCCCTGTGGGGCTCGGTACCACTCGGCCTTGGGCTTTTTCTTTTGGGATTTGGCCACCAAGGGGCCAATTGGTGTCCCCTGCTTGGTGGAGAGAAAGGCAGCCAAGATAGTGGCAGGGGGTGGGGAGGAGCCCAGTGTCTCAGGGAGTTCATTGCATTTTGGGCACAGGCTGCCCAGGTTCCTCTGCTCTCAGCACAGTGTCTGAGGGTGGGCTGGGGGCCCTGCAGGAGGATCCTGCCTGCTCCTGCACCCCCAAGCTGCCTCCCAGGGCTCAGAGATGGCTTGGCTTGGGAAATCCTTGGGGATGGAGAGGTGTTTATAGCAAGGGGGCAAAGCCATCTGGGAGCCCCCCCATTTCACAAGGTTTTGTGTTTTGTGCTGCTGTGCCCTGGTCTGTTGTTTTGCTGAAGGTGGTGGGTGAGTAGACATGGAAGCACCTGTGGAAGCCACAGCCAGGTGGTGGCATGGAGGAACATTGTGTCCAATGGGAGCTCTTCAAAGACCTGTGGGACACAGTGGTGGGGTGGGCATGGAGTCACCAAAAGCCTGACAGGTGCTGGTGGGTTTTGGGGGATCTCCTGACCTTCAGCCCTCCTTCCCAGGAGACTCCAAGGTCCCTGGGGGTGAGGAAGCAAACAGCAGTGTGCTCAGCAAGGAGATGGATTCAGTCCTGGGGCACAGCTGGCTCATGGTGGCATTGATGAAGGGGAGTCTTGACTAGCCCTGGCATGGGGTGTTGAGGTTAAATGGGGTCAGAGGACATGGGACTTTCCCTGAGGGGAATACTTCCCTTCAGGCATGGAGGTGTAGGGGTTGTTGTCCCAGTCAGCTTGCAAGCAGATAGGGGATGGTGGGATTGGGTTTTGGGGACTGGTGCAGCAGTCCAGAAATTGGGGTGATGGGCACTGGGCATCTCCATGAACACACTGAGTTAGGTGAGCATGGCCATCTGCCAAGGCCAGGCCTTCAAAGGCCAGTGCTTGGAGCTAGCTGGATTGCTGGAAAGGACTTGGAACAAGATGGTCTTTAAGGTCCCTTCCACCCCAAACTCTTCTGGGGTTCTACAATTCTCTCTGCTGGGCTAGAGGTGAGGACCCACCTTGGTGGATCCTGGCCCAGCTCCTGCAGTTTGGGGACCCCACAGCTGGAGCTGTGGTACTGTGCACAGTGGGGTGTGATGGTCACTACTCTGCTTCAGGGTTAACAGTGAGGGAGATGCTGACCCAGCTTTGTGCTCTGGTCCACCCTGGGCTCACTCTGGAGATGCTCCTGTGTGAGTGCCAGGGCCAGCTTCTCTGGGGATCTGAGGTCAGGGGGCTTTGCTGTTATCCAGGGTGAGGACTTGGATGGGAGAGGGAAGGACACATTCAGCAGCAGGGCTGGACCCCAGGGCCCCTTCTCCTGGTGTCCCATGGGGTGTGGGACAGTGTCCACATCAGAGGTCCAGGCATTGTCCACTAGGCAGGGAAGAGATGGGGAAACCTCCTGTGCCAGGAACAGCCTGTCAGGGAGCTGGATGGGCATGTGGGCCCTGGAGACCCCCCCAGGTTCTTGGGGATGGAACTGGACTCACCTGGAGCTCATCTCTCACAGGTGGTTCCTCCTCAATGCCCTGTGAGAGATGAGCTCCAGGTGAGTCCTGGTTCCATCTCCCAAGGAGGAGGGGTTGAGGATGATGAGGAGATGAAGGCAGTGTCAGTTGTTGGCCACCACCAGCAGCACCAGGAGAACGAGACCTGGGGAAGGAGAAATACAGGGGTGATTTTGGGGTGAAAAAATGACTTGTTAGGTAAATTTAACTCATAAAGTAAGTGTGAGTGGCAAAGATGGACCTGTCTGTGTTTAGTCAGGGAACCAGGGAGGAGAAGAGAGCAGGGTGCTGGTGAGGGCTGGGCACTCTGACACCCATTAGTGACGGCATGTGGCGGATGTGGGAGGGAGGCCCCTGGTGGGGCTTGGCTTCCCCTCCCTGCAGTCCCAGCCCATTTACCCTGCCTGTGCTTTCACATTTCCCAGCAGAGGCTGGAGCTGCTGGCAGCTGGGGACACCTGGGTGCTCAGGGAGCTCCTCCACTCTGTTCCTGGGGAGGCAGGTGGGTGCCCCTTCCCTCATTTCCACCCTGGGGTGGCTTCACTGGGAACCGCTCCTGGAAGTGGCAGCTGCAAGGATGGATCAGCCCCGCCATTCACTGCACACCCCATCAGACTGCAGAGTGAACATCCTACCTGTCCTTTCCCACCCAGGTAATCCCAGAAGATCTTTCTTTGCCAAACCCAGGGGCTGATGCATCCCCTTCCCTGCTCCGGTGCTGGACTCCTGCATTCCAGGTAAGATCCCTCCAACTTCCCCCACTGTCCCTGCTCATTTTTCCACTCACACTTGAGCTTTTGGCTGTCACTGAGTGGTGACTCTTGGGCACTGTGGTTTCCGTGGGTGTGCTGGGGTTTTGTGGGCATTTCCTGCTGTCCTGTGCTGTTTTTGGAGTAGGGGAAAGGCTTCAGCATGACGTGGGGTGTTTCAGTTCGGAAGGGATGATGCCAGCAGTGGAAAACAGCAGCTGTTTGCCGTGTTGCTGTTCCTGGGTGTCTGCAGGGAGTGTCTGGGCTCCCTAAACCTTGCTGGGAGCACAGTGCTGAGGATGGTGTGAGCTGGCAGGGAACAGACAGGAATGCCAGGGCAGGCAGCACCAAGGATGCACAGCTCTGGGCATCACCCACACTGCCTTTGGTTTGCCAGCACCCAGTCCATCCCTGGTGATCTCAGCTGATTTCCCCTTCTCCTCTCCACAGGATCCTTTTCCCACTGATGGGAATGAGGGTTTCTCCTCCCCATTCTCTCTTGGCCTCGCTTGCTGCAGGTGTGTATCTCCAGTGGAGAGAGCCAGTAATAGGTAAATGTTCCTTCCTAGCACATTTTGGGGAGGCAGATGTGCTGGGGGTGATTTTGGGGCTGTAAGAGCACCCCAGAGATGCAGATCCCTGGAACAGACTGGGCTGAGGCCTGCCATGAAGCAGTTATTGCTCTCAGTTTTTAATTCCTCTTTTCTGCTCTCAGGAGAGGTGTCCTGCTGGCAATCAGTGGCTGAGCAGTGTGCTGCCCACTATGGCTGGTGAGTCTGGGAGCAAACCTGGCTCTGTCCCCTCCCTCACAGCATCCCTTCCCCAACAGAACACCAGGGTGCCCATGGGCTGCTCCTCACGATGCCATGGCATTCAGGTGTTGGTGGCAGCTCAGTTTCAGGGACCAGGATGGTTTTGGGGTCAAGGTGAGATCCTACCCACCCCTTTCCATCTGGGGGCATCCTGCTGATTGAATGATGCTGTGCTTGGGAAGTCCAGGGGCTGCTGAGCCCCCAAAACTGACTGTGACCTCACTCTGCAGGTTGGTTTAGGAGGCTCCTGCACAAACCCAAGCCCAGCTCAGTGGAAAGCCTCAAGTCCAGCCACTCTGCTTCATCCTCACCTTCCTCCTCCTCCTCATCCTCTGCCAAGAGCTCCAGCTCTTCTCCTGGCACGAGCTTGGCCACCAGCTCCATCTCCCTGTCTCCTGTGTCAGCAGTGGACATCAGCGCCTCGCACAGTCCCCGGTGGGACAAGAGCTACGACGTCTGCATCTGCCACAGCGAGGGGGACGTGGAGCTGGTGTCAGAGCTGGTGTCCTACCTGGAGGGCCAGCCCGAGAGCTTACGGTGCTTCCTGCAGCTGCGGGACGCGGTGGCGGGGAGCGCGGTGGTGACAGAGCTGTGTGACGCCGTGCAGAACAGCCACTGCTGGGTCATGCTCATAACCCCCGGCTTCCTGCAGGACCCCTGGTGCAGGTACCAGATGCACCAGGCCTTGGCTGAGGCTCCCATGGCCAACGGACGAACCATCCCAGTGCTGAAGGACGTGGATCGCAAGGACTATCCCAGGGAGCTGCGGAACATCTACTACATCTACATGGCGCTGAAGGAGAAGAGCTTCAGACAGATCAGAGACACTGTCATGCGCTGTGAGTATCCTCTGGGATGCTGGTGAAACCTCAGTCCGTTGGGGTGAGGACTATGGGAATGGACCACATTCCATACGTTTATTTAAAGTTGATTTTTAGAATAATTGTTTGCTAATGGAGCTCATCTGCTGTCCCTGCAGACCTCCAGGAACTGTGCAAGAGCTCCACAAAAAGCATGGAGTAGTGCTGGGAGCAGGCAGATGCATTCTCATGGGCATCATGGAGCTGTTGCCGTTGGATCTGGATGTTGGCATGTCCCATTGGACCTTGAGGTCAAACCTGAGCTGCTCAGACCAGACCTGGGACCAAAGATAGGGAGTTCTCCACATCCATGAGGGACAGCAGACTGGAGCCCACCACGTCATGGTGGCCAAAATCTCCTCAGCGGGAACAGGGACATCCATCACACAAACACTAAGCTCTGGTATCGGGTGGTTCTCAGGGTCATGAGAGCTCTTTACTGTGCTGGCATTCTCTGTCCTGGGGGCTCTGGAACCCCTACTAAGCTGACAAGACGCCTGCTGGGCGCCTATGGGCAGGACAAGATATGAGACAGGCAGTGACGCTGCACGGAATCGTTGCGACTACGAAAATGCAGAAGTTTTACATTTTGATGGTGTTGGGTATTTTTGTCTCAATCTTCGGTTCGGGCGTTTGTGGGAGGAGGAGCCGCGGGGGTGCGCGACCTCCGAGCCGCCAGGGGGCGCCATGGCTCAGCGCTCCCCGAGGCGCCGCGCGTGTGCAGTGCGGGGGCGGGCGCGAGCCATGGCGGAGGGCCCGCAGCCGAAGAGGAAGCGGGAGGAGGAGGAGGAGAAAAATGGCGGGGCCGCCACTCAAGGCGGCGCCGCCGCCGCATTCACGCTGTCGGACCTGCGGGTGCGGCGCGTCCTGCGGGAGTCGGCGCGGGACAAGATCGTGTTCCTGCACGCCGAGGTACCGGGGAGTGGGGGGGCGGTCGCGCCGGCCGCCATTTTTCCCGCTGAACGCACGGCCCCGCCCCCGGCGGCGCGCTCGGGCAGGCCCCGCCCCCGGCAGCGCGTGCTGCGAGCCCCCGGGCAGCCCGGCCCGGCCTCGGCCCCGGCCCGCTTTTCCAGCCTAGCCCGGCCCGGCCTCGGCCCCGGCCCGCTTTTCCAGCCTAGCCCGGCCCGGCCTCGGCCCCGGCCCGCTTTTCCAGCCTAGCCCGGCCCGGCCTCGGCCCCGGCCCGCTTTTCCAGCCTAGCCCGGCCCGGCCTCGGCCCCGGCCCGCTTTTCCAGCCTGGCCCGGCCCGGCCTCGGCCCCGGCCCGCTTTTCCAGCCTAGCCCGGCCCGGCCTCGGCCCCGGCCCGCTTTTCCAGCCTGGCCCGGCTCAGCCCCGGCCCGCTTTTCCAGCCTGGCCCGGCCCCAACCAGGCGGAGCTGGCGGCCGGGGAGGCGGCTGGAGGCCTTGTTGCAATCCTCTTGTTAGTATGATTTGGTGCCTTTGGGTTCCAGCACGTTGTTCGTGCTTGGTAGGTAAAGCGGCACTGGATTGCAAGCAGCTGTTACAAATAAGAAACTTGACTAGGCCAATATTCAAGCAGCAATCATTTTATTAATTAATATGGTCAAGTATGAGCAATACAGCGCTGGGTACAGTGGGGGCAGTTTTCCCTCCAACTGCACACCCATAGTTGAGGTTTACAGGCATTTATAGGGGTACTCATCAGCTTTCTCAGCAGTTTCTATTCCAAATTTTCCTCATCAGCAGTTTCTATTCCCAATTTTTTATTGCATCACAGTTCTATGCACTATTGTGATTTAGTTTTTCTCAGGATGTATCTCAAAAGGAGTATCCCCAGATGGTGGTGGTCCAGTTTCCGAAAGAAGAAAGACGAATCCCGTCTGGTGAAGTCCAGCTCCCCAGATGTGGGTCCACCTTTTAATTACAAGGACTATAAATCTCATAACAGTGATGTCCAGCTTCCCTTGGTCAAAACTATAAATCCTTGAGTTGATGTTCATCTTCCTTTCTCAGGCTGTTTTTCTCTGCTTTATTAAGGTGTGAGATAAGCATATTTCCTTTATATATATTCCAAAGCTATAGTTTCAAGGACAGAAGCAGTATTCTAAAATTATACTTTAAAAGGTTATTATTGCAGAGCTCTTTGTCTTAACTGCACGCAAAAAGCAACATTCTTAATGCTTTAATTCCAATGCTCCTAAATCAACCAAGGTTAATTGCAAACAAAAGATGGGTTCAAAGGCCTTCTTCCATGCTTTACTTTCCTCAGTTATTATTAGAATTTGCAACTATCCCATTGTTGGTCTGTACACATATCGCAATCACAAATACACACATTGCCTGTATGTACCTGACATGAAACTCAGCTTTGTATTTCACACAGCGTGCTGATTCTGGGACTGTAAATAGTACAGCCATTACAGGAAAATGTGCAGTAATTCTTGGGGTTGTGCATGGCGAGGTTACCATGCAGCTGTCTCGGCCTCTGTCTCCTGAAGATGTTCAGCCAAGCAGGAGATGAGGACAGGGAGGTTCCAGGCTGCTGCTTTGGTCTCGAGTCAGTGGGTTCCTGCAGTAACAACTGGGCACAAACCTGCTCAGAGGTTTATGTTTAGAAGGAGATAGAGGAGTCCTTCAGCTTTATTCCAAGGGAGGGAGCCCACTGGGCCACATGACCGCAGGGTTTTCTCTCGAGGTTTTGGAGGGCGCAGCCTCCCTTTTATCCTAACTCCCGGCCGCATGTTTCCCTCTTCCGCTCCCGATGGGCTGAGCTACTAGGGAGGTACAGCCTTCCCAAACCCCTTACCCCATATCCCCCCTTAAACCTGCCATTTTCCCCCGAAATTCAGGCTTGTGCAGACCCTTGTCTCTTTCTGGAGCCAAACTGCCCAAAGTCAATAGAGACATTAGGACCCATTTCAAAGACATTAACACCCATCAAACTGTTTGTAAAGGCATCAGCACACATCTTCCTTCTCAAGCTGACAGGGTTGGGAGCCCCGTGGCTCTCCCCAGGTGGTGTGGTGAGGCCTCACCTGGGTTTTGTACAGACAGGAGCAAGGCTGGAGGATGTTCCACTCCCAGCATCTCCCAAAACCAGCGCGCTGAGGCCTCTGGATCAGGTGTTGTGGTTCCTTGGAGCAGGGCAGCAGTAAGGCCCCCTGCCCCAGAACTTGTTCCCTGACAATGATGCAAATCCCCAGGTCTGCTTTTGCCCTCTTCCTGGGAAGTGTCAGAGGTGAAATTGGTGCTGTGGGTCAACAGGAAACCTGGGAGCATCCGGGGAGGTGCAGATGGGCTGAGTCATTGACCACATCCCCAGCTACCCCAAAAACCACTTGTGTTCCCTTGTGGGAAGCAAATTCCTGCTGTGCTTCCAGGCAAATGTGCTGTTTGTTTTTGGATGGATGTCTGTCCTACAGGGGGTTTTGGGCATGAGGGCTGGGGGCTGCGAGGAGTCTGCCATGATCCCTGACCTCAGACTGTGCACCCAGTGCTGGATCTGTGTTGCTGATGACTTTATCCATTTGTATTCCAGAGGATTGGCCTCTCTGGAGAGGGCACAGATGCTGTAGTCATCCTGGAAAAGACTCCTTTCCAGGAGGAGAAGATCCCAGACCTGCTGAAGAAGCCCATGCACGCAGAGCTGCAGATGCACAATGACATTTACTGCACCTTCTACCTGAGCCCTCCCCCAGAGCTGAGTGGTGAGTGCCCTCAGCCCTGCCCAGGGATCTGGGAGGGCAGCTGGGATGCCAGGATATGGTTCCTGCCCATTCCAGAGGGGAGGATGCAGTGAGATGGGCAGGTGCCACTGCTGGGCCTGGCTGTGTCACCCTGGTTGTGCTTTGGTGACAGCAGCACACCTGGCCCAGGTGGGAAGTGTCACTATAGGACATGAAAGAACACAAGCACACACACTGCTGCTCTCAAGGTGAAGAGAAAAGGGAAGTTTATTTTCTGACTCCCAACATTTATAGTTTTCTAAAAGTGACAGTGGATTGGAGGGTGACAGTGCCACCTCTCCAATGACCCTGGACAAACCAACAGTCCATCAAATTTCTCCTCCTCCATAAAAGAATGCAAAACAATGAGTTATTTACAGAAAGGGTGTGAGAAAGTTTGTTACAAGAATGCAAACATCAGAAGGCTTAGAAAATCTTAAAAAAACCAAAGCAACAGGGGAGGTCAGTGGGTTGTTGCCACACTAAAGGCAATGTCTCATCCTGAAGCTTTGAATGCTGCCCTGTTTCTTCCCTTTTTCCCATGCCATGGAGAGGTGGCTCAGCTGAGGAGGCACTGAATGGCCATCGCTTGGTGCCCTCGTACAGGAAGGTGCAGAAAGGCTCAGGGGTGTGGGTGATTGTCAGTGCTCTCAGTGCTCTTACTTGGGTGAGAAAGAGTTGTCTCCTTCCAGAATGTTTCTCTTGAAACAGTCTGCAGGGCACATGCAGTTGCTTCTCATCCCATGGTGACACCTCATGGGCTTTTTTGTCTCCTGGTAAGAACAGGCAGTTTGTATTTGGGGCAGGATTTAAGGGCTGGTAACCTTGAGTGCTGGGGCAGATGAGCCCCATCCCCCTTAGGACTTCACACATCTGTGTGTTATAAAACTCTGCTGATAACCAAGTATGACAAAGACTGATCAGCAGGTTGGGGAGCTGCAGTGCAAGGCTCTCACCCTGTGGAGGGGATTCTGTCCCAGTGGGAAGGTGTCCTGAAGTGCTGATGATTTCCAGCTGCCACTGAAAGGCTGGGCTGGTCTTTGGGCACTTCAGTTTAATCACAGAATTCCAGACTGTTTTGGGTTGGGAGGGACCTTAAAGCTTTTCTTGTTCTAACTCTCTGCCATGGCAGGGACACCTTCCCCTGTCCCAGGCTGCTCCCAGCCCTGTCCAGCCTGGCCTTGGGCACGGCCAGGGATCCAGGGGCAGCCCCAGCTGCTCTGGGCACCCTGTGCCAGGGCCTGCCCACCCTCCCAGGGAACAATTCCCAATTCCCAAGATCCCATCCATCCCTGCCCTCTGGCAGTGGGAGCCATTCCCTGTGTCCTGTCCCTCCCTCCCTTGTCCCCAGTCCCTCTCCAGCTCTCCTGGAGCCCCTTCAGGCCCTGGCAGGGGCTCTGAGCTCTCCCTGGAGCCTTTTCCTCTCCAGGCTGAACACCCCCAGCTCTCCCAGCCTGTTCCAGGGCAGAGCTGTTCCAATCAGAGCATCTCCATGGCCTCCTCTGGACGTGCCCCAGTGGCTCCATGTTCTTCCTGTGCTGATGACCCCAGAACTGGGGGCAGCCCTGCAGGTGGGGTCTCACGTGAGCAGAGCTGAATCACCTTCCACAATTAATTCCATCTGAATGCTGATGTATGTTTAAATTCCAGAAGTGCAGTAATAAAAGCCAATGCTTTCATAAACAATAACACCCAAACAGGTTTAACAGTCAAAATTAATCTGAGTCCTTTAAGTAAGATGTTGTTGCAAGGCCAAGTTAAATATTCAGGATGTTTGATGTACCTTTCCAAAAATGTTCTTGTTTTAGCTCTGTTCCCACGGTGTAGGAGGAAGCGCTGTCTGGATTTGTCAGCTTGAATTGTGCAAAACTCCTTTTCTCCTGTGAAGGACTCAAAGATTTTGTTGTTGC